CTCTTCTGTCCTCTTCTTTCCATTTTGCGTCCGCTCATCCACCAGCCGTTTGGAGGAGAACCTATTTTCATCATACATGGGGATTTACTCTTCCTTTCCACAATGAGCACCAAAGTTTTACATAAAGGGAAGTTGCTGGCAAATAAATATATCAGTGGCATTTTAAATATCAGCTTGTGCGTGGCTGAGGTTGTGCGAGTGTTTAATGTAGCACAGAAAGACAAAGCATACCGAGAGAGCATCGCACCATAGCTACCAGTACCTAAGCTCTCAGTATTACACCCTAACTAAGCTGATTTTCCCAAAAGAGAGTCACACCACACACACACGCGCACACACACACATTTTTGAAATTATAGAGCTAGAGAAATCATGCATTAAATACCTACAGACATAATAGCAAATCAGACATACATCCCGCTTGCTTTGGCCTGGGAAGATGGAGACATAGGCACACAAACTGTTGGAGGCAGGAGAGTACTGTTGGGGGAAAGTACTACTATGTGCTTTCTGTGATTTGATAGCTTTCCCTTAGCAGGAAGCAGGTTCCTGGGCTAGGTGGTCCTTTGCTCTGAGCCAGCGTGGTCCCTTTTGACAGTAACGCTCTGGGAATGAAGCACGTGCAGATGTCCAACAGCCTTAAGGGAAAGGACTTGGTGATTGTCGAGACCTTTTGCATTTTGGATGTCCGTTACTGCTGCAATATTGTGGTCCTGTTACAGAAAGCTCAAGTGACTGTGCTGACACCTAGAAGCGAAACCATAGGCCAATTCCTAAGACACATCCGGATCTTAATATTTAAGTTTACTTGTTTGTAAATAAAAGAAAAAAGTATAGTTATTTGGCAAATAAGCATTCTATTTTGAGGTTATTTTGATGTTTTGAATTTTTATTTTGCTAGAGCTGGTCCTAAATAGCATTTTGGACCCTTCAGAAAGGATCTGTGTGAAGCTTTTCAGGTTTGATAGGCTGAAAGAGGGACCTGTTAACACCTTGCTTGGCTCCAAGCAGGCTGTCTCCAGGCTGGGGCACGCAGGGCAACCAAAAGATCGTTGCCTTCAGGGGAGTCTCCCCAGCGTGATACTCTTGAACCTTTCCTGAAGGCTCCTGGGTCCGCAGGTCAGAAATTACACACTGCCTGGCGGGTATCCAGGTGCCTGACCTCCCGAGACACCCCGACGCTGGCCAGCGCCTGGGAGCCCCAGGAACCTGGTGCCTCTGTTCACTGCAAGGTGGTGGCAAAGTCCTTTGCTTACTTCCACGAAAATGGGATTTGGCAAGGCATGCTCTGCTTTTGCTGATATTTGCCAGTGTTGGAGTGATGCAGGATGAAAAATTTGCGCAGAACGGGGCAGAACGGGAACTTGACCACGAGTAACCCGCAGCCCCGGGGCAGTCTGGAAAGCGGGTGCGTCGCTGGAGAGACGCTTGTCCCAGAAAGCAGAAGAGGCGCCAACACATCCCCCGTGGAATGTTTTTGTTGAAAATGCTCCGGCGGGCGCTGATAGTGTCTGCGGCGTCAGATATTTCTGGAAATGCAAACTGTTAATTGCTTAGCAATGAGCATAACAACGCAGTCAGGCTGCAGCAAAACAAATAATCTTATTAAGAAAATTACCAGGTATTCAAAGTGGCAGGGTGAGAGAACTAATAAGAGGTTGCTGAGCCTTTGTACCTTTGCTGCAATACTGATTAGGGCAGTAATGAGCACAATTGTGCCATTAACTGCATTAATTGATATCTTTGTAGGCTGAAAACAGTAGCTGCATTACATGCACGGCATTACCTGACCCCTGTGCTGCCTGTGCTTCAGCTGTATCCACTCTGCGCATAAGCACAGATGGCATGTTTTCTCTAGGTCAGGCCAGACTTGCTCACAAAGAACATTTTTTTTTAAACAAGTATCATGCCTTCTCCCTGATGTGCAAACCTGTGCAGATAGGGAGATATCGCTGGAATGTGATACGCAGCTCCAATTGCATTTGCATCTCTAAGAGGCCAAAGAAAATTGGTGACTTTTTGGATGAGAGAGTAGCAATGTGGGATCTTCCTGTGCGCCTGCGGGAGGGCAGAGATTACCCACCACCTCCCAGGGGCTGAGGCAGCTGCGCCCACTGCTGTCCTCTTAGAAACAAGGAAACAAAAAACATATTAAATGGGAGGTAAAACCGAGAGGGGGGGAAATTCCTTCCTCAAAAATGCAATTTCAGAAGAAGTCCATCCTGAAGGTCACGTTCTGCAAGAGTGGCAAACCAAGTGACCCTGCGAGCTCAGCAGTGTGACATTTCTTTTTGCTAAATCTGGCTAGTGCCTCTGACAGGTTGTGAATTTGAGTAGCTTGGTTAATCAAACATCCCAAATGTCTGTCCGGAGAGGAACCTGAGGTGAAAGTGGGGGACACGCTATGTCAGCATGTTGCTTCACTTTTAGAGCAAATTGGATAACGTTGAGCTCTTTGAATGTCTTTCCTCAAGCGTCTCATGGGATTGTTCAGGTTTTTTTTTAATTGGAAAATGTGATTTTTCACATTTCCAAAGTATTACTTTTTTTTTCTGGATTTTCTGCAAAAGAGCCCCTATAAACGGCAGACAAAAATGTAAATAATGTTCTCTTGCAAATCTAGAAGCTTTTTTCCTCTGGAGAACACTTTGCCAGCTTTTGCAAGCCATGCCATTCTAATAACTGTACAGCACTACAACCTCGTTTTGTTAGACCCCAGTTCCTCCTCCCATCCTGGGCTTCCTTAGACGTTCCCAGAAAATGTAGATAGCACCTCAGTGGCAGGGGCCTTTGACAAAGGGGGCGGCGGCCCCGGGGCC